TTTACAAGAGCCACAAGGTTGGAAACAACTCCAATGTCCACCAAAACAGAAAGGGATAAACAAAATATGGTACAGACATACAATGGAATATTATTCAGTCATAAAGAGAAATGAAATTCTGATTCATGCTACAATATGAACAGACCTTGAAAACGTTGTTGTTTTTGTTAGGTGCTGTCGAGTTGTTTCCGACTCATAGCGACCCCATGCACAGCAGAACGAAACACTGCTTGATCCCGCGCCAGCTCCATGATCCCTGCTATACTTGAGCCCATCATCGCAGCCACTGTGTCAATTGAAAACATTATACTGAGTAAAATAAGTCTGAAACAAAGGACAAATACTTATATGATGAAATATCCAGAGCAGGAAAAGGCATAGAGACAAAAGTTCATCAGAAGTTATCAAGGGATAGGGGCAGAGAGAAAGGAGGGTTATTGCTCAAAGGGTACTGGGTTTCTGTTTGCAGTGATGAAAAGTTTTTGGAGATGGACAGTGGTGATGGCTGCACAACATGGTAAATGTGACTGTCACTAAGAGTGGTTACAACAGCAAATTTATACTCTTCCTCTGAGAATTGTTATACTGTTGTTTTCTCCCACCATTTCATATGTAGCGGCTTCAGATCTGTTGCTTCCATATTCTACCTATGTATCAGTTAGGAATACCTTTGGGTGCAAGTAAGTAACAGATTACTTGATTATCAGTGGTTAAAGTCATGGATCATAACTACATCTTACTGGCCAAATTCTGCCCACTGCCAGTTTTTGTAAATAAAGTTTTATTGAAACACAGCCATGCTCATTTGTTTATAAATTGTCTATGGCTACTTTCATGCTGCAAAGATAGAACAGAGTAAGCACAACAGAGACCATATGACCTCTTAAAATATTTACTTTCTGGTTCTTTAAGAAAAATTCTGCCAACCCCTAGTTTAAGCAATAAAGAGATTAAATTATTTCATGTAGCAAGGAGTTTCATGTTTGGCCAGCTGCTCCACAAGGCCATCTATCTTTTCTCTCCACCATCCTTTGAATGTTGGCTTTTCTTCCTCATGCTTATTAGCTCATGTTCACAAGAGGTCTCCCATAGTTCCAGAGGTCACATATGGGTTCAAAGCAGAACAAAAGAGGCCATTGAGCAATTCTTACAAAGCTGGCCCTTCTATAAGGAGCAAAGACTTCCCAGAAGCTCACCAGCAGACGTCCCCTTATGTCTTTTTGGCCAGAACTAGGCCACATGGTCACTCCAAGCTGCAATAGGGTCTGGGAAAGCAAGTATCTGGGAAAGAGGGTTCTGTTAACAAAAAAGAAGTGAGAAGAAGGGCTGTTAGGAAATAATTAACAAAGTTTCTCACAACCTGGACAAAGGGAAGAAGAAAAGACTTAGCATTTGGAAAAGACCTAGTATTTGTTGATCATCTACTATTTACCGAGTACTTCAAAAACCAAAACCAAACTCACTGCCATCAAGTTGGTCCCGACTCATAGCAACCCCACCTTGGACCTCCAAGGCAGTATCTCTACAGAAGTAGATTGTCCAACCTTCCTTCCGAGGAGTGGCTGGTGGGTTTGAACCACCAGCCTTCTGGTCAGTAGTCTAATGCCTTAGGCACTACACCACCAGAGCTACTTAAACTCACTCACTGTCCTCGAGTTGAACCTGACTCATAACGACCCCGCCTTGGATTTCTGAGGCAGTATCACTACAGAAGTAGATTGCCAAACCTTCCTTCCAGAGCTCCTTAAATCAAACCAACTAAACACACTGCCCTCGAGTTGGACCCAACTCACAGTGACCCCTCCTTGGGTTTCCGAGGTGGTATCACTATGGAAGTAGATTCCCAACCTTCAGTACTCATTTAATCCCTAAACTGAATGTAATTAGCCATAGAAGTAATTAATTTACCAAGGACACATGACCAATAAGGATGAGGCTAGATCTCCAGGCCAGTCCCTCTTAAGGCAAAATCTCTCCTTCTTCTCCCTCATTAAGTGCTCTCCTCCCATCCCATTGGAAAGCACTTTCACATCTGCTCCTCATCACCCCCCAGAGTGCATGGCAGCAGAAAAATGAGGCCAGGAGGTGTGAGAGGAAAGGCCCTAACATTTGCTGCATGCATATCTTACGATAAGCTGGTTCGATGAGAGACCCTTATCTTACATTATTTCATCTGCACCATCAAAAAGCTCTAAAAGGTAGGTATTATGTCAGCATTACAAATGAGACTATATAATTCAGGTGACTGGGTAGCCATGTGACTCAGATTATAACTATTTGCTCATTTAGTTATTCATTTACCAACAATATTGATCCCCTATTATATATGCCAGGCACTATGAAATCTGACTTTTGGGTTATCTGATTCCAAAACCCATCAATTTTCCACTTCCTTGTTGTTGCTGTTGGCTGTCATTGAGTCAGCCCCCAACTCATGATGATCCTATACACAACAAAGCTAAATGCTGCCCAGTTGTAATTGGACTGGTGTGGTTTTGGGGAGTAGATTGACAAGTATTTCATTCCAGGCTGGAAGCCCCACTGAAACCTATTCAGCATTATCACAACACACAGCCCTCCACTAATAGACAGATGGCAGATGCATACTATTTGCTCCATTTTACAGAGAGATTCTAGGGTTTGCTCAAGATCAGAAAGTATCTAAGTGACAGAACCACACAACTGGCCTAATCCCAACCATCTTGGTTGTAAGTCCAGTACACGTCCCTACGCTTTCTCCCCAAGCTCTCCTCTTTCTATGCTTCTGTTTTTGCTCTCTGGATCCACTTGATGTGCCCCTGTGTCCATTGTCCAGGCTCTGCAAGTCTGTAAGGCTGAAGTGAAAAGACTTATCAGAGGTAGAAAGAGATTTGATGCCTGAAGAATGGTCTCAGGAGCCCTGATGGCACAAAGGTTAAGTCCTCTGCTGCTAACAGACTGGCTGGTGGTTCAAACCCACCCAGAAGCTCTGTAAGAAAAAGACCTGGTGATCTGCTTCCCTAAAGATTACAGACAAAAAAGCCCTATGGAGCAGTTCTACTCTGTCATGAGGGGTCAATGAGTTGGAATAGACTCAACAACACCCAACAACAGATCCAGTCTCACAGTTTCGGAACTTTTTGCCAAGTGTAAGTCCACACATCACCACAGTCCTCTTCAAAAAGGGAATGGGGACCAGTGCAAGAGTTCACAACCTCAGCTGCACAGATGCAGGAAGAGGGCATCAAAAGTCATCCAGGAGGCTGTGACATCACCAGTGTGACTGCTATACAATCTCAACGTGCCTGTGGCCACAAATGCTCATAGAGCTAAAAGATGCTGATCTGTGCCATTGAAACACCAAATTAACCACGCCTGGAACTTTCCAATCTTTAGTTGTTTTATTATACGAGATAATAAACTTTCTCGTTGTGTATACCATTTGAGTCAGGTTTTATAACTTCCAACCAAAAGGATCCTAAGAAATGTGAAAGTGTAGGTCTCTTTTGCCTTACAGTTCTTACTGCCTGTGACATTCACTGACGCACTGACTTTTAAACCATCTTTTATTTCTTGTTTTGACATAAGAATGTTCATGGTATTAGGTCCTGGTCCATCGATGAGGTGGCAATTTCTTCAAAGACAGAGTCGACTGCTAACAGGCTAAAACTTTAACCTCTATTCCCGTGTTACACTATTGCCCTGGGTGAGCCACTTAACCAAGGGGTGATAGATGGGTTTCATCTTTCATTTCAACACTCACTGGAACACTGTGTGGGGCACTTTCATGGAGGATAAAAGAACATATGCTGTATGATTCCATTTATATGAAGTTCAAGACTAGACAAAACTAATCCATGATGATAGAAATCAGAATGATGGTTACCTGAGGGGTAGAAGGTGCTGACTGGCAAGGGGTATGAGGGAACTTTCTGAGGTGAGGAAAACATCCTATGTCTTGTTTTGTGTGGTGGTTACAAAGGCATAAACAATTACTAAATTTTATCGAGCTGAACACCTAAGTTCTATGTATGTTATTATATACACATTATGCCTCAATTTTTAAAAATTTTAACAGAAGAAGAAAGATGCTGAGACCACAATTATGCAGCAGGCAAAAATGTCATGACTGATTAGTGATGTCTGCCACAGACAAGGAGGAGGGTGAGAGGCATCAACACAAGTACCTCAGAGGGTTTCTGTGCCATTTAAGTTGTTATAATATTAACTCGGTCTATCTTATAAGATTGGAGCTCTGGTGGTGTAGTCCCTAAGGCATTTGACTGCTAACCAGAAAGCTGGCAGTTCAAACCCACCAGCCACTCCTCAGAAGGTAAGTTGGGCAATCTCCTTCCGTAGTGATACCGCCTCAGAAACTTTTAAGGAGGGATCGCTAAGATTATAATGAGGTGAAAGTTCTTTGTATACTGTGTATCTGTAGCCAAGTGTTATATGTTATTATTCATATTTATTCCCCACAATATTTTGATCAGTGGGACTGACTTTGGCAGGCAGGTCCCCAGAAAATTCTTCCTAGGCTGAAATGAAATGCAGCAGAATCAGATATTCTCAGAATGCCAGGTTCTCCATGAACATGGGACATGGTTTGTCTGACCTGTTATTCATATTACAAACAGTGAATGCCAATGCTGATTTGCTGAGCTAGCTTTCCCACTGCTATACAACACCACTTTTTAAGGTACTAAAATGATTTCCACAGGCTGAACTAGATAATGTGTTTTCTTTTGAGGCTTTTTATCCCTTCTCATTCTCTGCCTCAAGATGAGGTCTGGTGTTTGTCATTTCTCCTTCTCCTTCCAAGTCTAAATCTGCAGGGACCTTTCAGAGCTTTGCTCTTGGACTCTTGGTTCATGTCTGTTGGCTGAGGCATCTGTTTTTGGTGCCTTCCAGCACCTTCCGGGAGTCTCTGGACTACTGATGAGAATCGTGCTAACCAGCTTGTATCACTGGGAGTTTCAAGGCTCAGCAGCTGTGCTATTTTCTGACTGGTGTCCCCACAGAGGGAGCAGAACGGAGCCTGGCAACCATACCTCCACTTCCAAAGCCAGCCAGAGAGCCAGGCGCAACGGCAGATCCAGCCTGGGTATTCAGCCAAGAGATACCTCCGAGGCCTCTTGCAGAAATGGCACCCTGACGCCATGTACAGGCTCCAATGTGCAGGTCAGTAGGGAAGTGGTTGGGGTGCACCTTGAACTGCCTGCCTCACATCCTGGTATGAGAGTGTACTTTACATCAAGGGCTGAAACATTACAATTTCAGGCCTGACTTTGTGTTAAAGCAAAGTTTCTCAAGCTTGTAGCCTTCAAACGTCAATCACACCTTTCACCTTCTATCTTCTCCCCATTTGCATGGGGAAGTACAGTCTGAAGTCTTGCCCTCACCCCCTAATCCTCTCAGCAATTTCATACTCTATATCCCATGCCAGAACTTTTCCTGAAATTTTGTCACTCAGAGATTCTCCAGTTAACCAACATCTTTTACAAAATAAGGAAAAAAAGATGTCCAGAGAGGCAAAGTAATTTGCCCAAGGTCATTCAATCGAAAGCAGAGCTGGGACCCGAAGCCAGGTCCTCCCTTGCTCTCCTAGCTGTATATTCTTCCCAGTGTTCCCTAGTTCCTCCATCTGAGGTAATCTCAGGTCCTTCAGGAAATGGAAGTGCTAGGATTCCTCCTCTTAAAGATGGTGGTGATCCACTTGGGACTGAGATGGACACCTTATTGCTAAACAAAGACCCCAAACATACTCTGCAGAGACTTAAAAGTAGAAAGTAGAAATGGTTGAAAATAAGCATTTCCAGATTCAGTGTGTGCTCACAGTGTGCCTGCACACACACACAAACACTTGGTTATACTTGCAATATTTGGGACACGTTGTTGTTCTTGTTAGGTGCCGTCAGGCAGATAGTGACCCTATATACAAGGAAACACTGCCCATTCCTTAAAAAAAAAAAAAAAAAAAAACATTGTTTACACAATATTCAAATCTAACTGGACATCCTGTATTTTATTTGGCAAACCTACTGGGGAGGAGAGAGGTGAGCAGTAGGACTTGCCAGTGCCCACGAGGCTGTTTGCCGTTGCTTCTGCACTAACAGACAGACAGGACCAGAGGGAGACTGGCTTTCTTCTTGCTTTATATGTTTACCCTGGGAAAAAAGAGAAAACAACTCTATCCCAGTACGTGGTGACTTGAAGCAAAATGCAAGATGTAGGCTTGTCTAGTAATTGGTTTTACTTTCACAGCAGGCTCAAGGTTACAGGCAGATCCATTTATTTAACACTTGTGGGAAAGAACCTCTTAACCAAAGATCTGTTCATCATCAGGTGGGCAGAGAGCAAAACAGGCTACTGCCCTATAGTGTAGGCCCAAGATTTTTGAGGATAAGAGCCCTTCTTAATACTGAAAATTGTCTCAGACTCCTCCATAGGAAAGTCATATGGCTAAAATATGTGGTTTAAGAAAAGACATATGTGCATGTGCATTCTTGGACTCCTTACCATAATTCCTCAGGCTGGAGGAACTACGTTGAGGCTGCTGTGAGACTACTGGCCCAACAGTCCCTGCCACCCTCTCCCTTCACATCTCAGAGCTCATAACTTCCATGTTGCTGCTGTGTTCTCTGGCCCCTTCTTTCCACCTCTATTATGAATCCTCCTTATCCCTCAAGCCCACATCTTCAATAAAAGCTTCTCTGACAATGCTAGTCAATAGTGAGCTCCTCATTTTCTGGCCTTATGTCACACTGACACTCAGGGCTACACAGTTGAACATGGATGAGCTTTGTCTCTCCAAAAGACTATTAGTGCCTTTAAAAGGGGCCTATGCCTTGTACTTCTGTATCTCCCTCTGCCTAGCATAGGGCTGGGACCATTGGTAAGTCCTCAATAAATCCTTATGTAATGATTGGATTGAGAAGGTGAGTGATGGTGAAGCCTTTAGAGTCAAGCAGGACACATCTACTACTTCTATTCCTTCTTCCTGAGGTAGAAGGAGCCTTTTACACAAACCAAAGAAAGTAGCCATGTTTTTTCCACCTAGGAGACTTGTTGTTGTTGTTATTCGCCGTCGAGTCAGACCCGACTCATAGCGACCCCTCCTTGAATTTCCGAGGCAGTATCACTACAGAAGTAGATTGCCCAAGCTTCCTTGTAGTTCATGGAAATACAAAGTAGAAGAAACACACAAATGGCACAGGGGCAGAAGCACCAAGACACTAGATAGAGAAACCTAGGAGTCTATCTGCTTTTTTAATTTCTCTCATTTGCTAATTGTCTCCCTTAATGGGCACTGTCCAAAGCCAGGACTAGTGCAAGGGGGGGACTTTGTAGTTTTTCCCAAGAACTCAAGATATATGACCATTATTTTTATCAATAACTCCTGACCTACCCTTCAGGATACATCAAGGATTCTGTGCTGCTCCAGGACAGTCAACTTAATGTACCAAAGAATCTCAGGCCACAGCAGGATCTTTCAGGTGCACCCCCAAAATACCACTTCCTGCCTGTCTTCCCCCCATTTTGGATTCAACAAGGAAAATCTTTTGAACAAGGTACATATTTATTTTTTGACCAGTTCTCAAATATTTGGATTTTTAGTGCTTTAAAATGGAGTTTCCCAAAATAAGGTCTAAGGATTCTGAGTTTCAATGTCATCGTTTTGTGAAGTGAGGAATTTAATCTTGACTAGTGCTATCCAAACCATACTTTCTGCAGTGATGGAATGTTCTGTAATCTGTGTCACATATGGCTGTTAAGCACTGGAAATGTGAAACTGAGAAACTAAGATTTTAATTGCATTTAATTTAAATTAATTTAGGTCTAAATACCCACATGTGGCTAGTTGCTACTGTACTGGACAGCTTAAATCTAGATTCTAGATTTTTCCTGATTTCTTAGGTCTGTTCCACTCCAACATTCTTTGATCCTGTAGTTTTGTGGTCACATCATATGGGGAAAGTATGGGCTTTGAACCAGAAATCTGTATTGTAACGGCTACTCTCTCACTTAGTACATGCAAGATCGTGAGCAAATCACTTAACCTATTTGAGCTTCTGTTTTCTCATCTGTGAAATGTGCATAATAAGATCTACCACATTACTGCACAGAAAACAATTATGAGCTCTCTGTAAGCTGTACATTACTATGAGGATTTTTGTTGTCAATGCTATTCTTGAGAACTTGAAACATTAAAAGAGTCAGAGGTTGCCTTCAGTAACACCTTTAGAGAGATGGGAAAAGATGAATGAGTGTCCACAGGAGCAAAGAATGGGGTCTTGGCTGGTACCAGAGTTTTTGAGAAGAGAAAGGGAAAGAACAAGAGCTCAATATACTACAAAGGTAATTTTTGTGAAATAAAAGAATTTTCTAGAAAATTCCTGACCAAGCCTTGTCCTTGGGAAAGGGATCTGGTCAGGATAAGCAGAGTAGCTGGTCTGTCAGATGAGTGGAGAAGAAAGTGGCAGGCTCTCGGAGCCTGGAGTCATTAAATATTCCAACCATATGGTAGTTGTCATTAGGTGCCGTGGAGCCCACCCTTAACTCATTTCATGAATGAAATGCTGCCTGGTCCTGGGCTATATAGGCAATAGTATTTCTCTTTGTAAACTAATTCCCTGGTCCCTATGCATTTTGTTAATACAAGGCAACATCCCCAAGACCAGGTGATTCTGGGGCACTAAAAAGATCAAGTTTCTAGACCATCTATGTTCTGGGAGTGGTAAACTCAACCAGTAATGAATGCCCCTATTTGAGCACCTGTTGCCCTTTACCAGATGGCACCCTACTTTGCCATTGCTTCATCCTTTTCTTTAGAATTTTCCCTATGATCCAAAATTCCTAGATTGTGAATTGCAGTATTCCATTTTTCATGTGGATAATACTGCACATCTAAGGGGTCAAGTGATTTCCCTGATTGATCCCACACAACAAGGAGCTGTCACAATCAGGCAGAAAACAGAGAGACCATATAGAATAGTGGTTAAACATGTAGCCATGAGCACCAGACTTCCAAGCTACATGACATCTCTTAGCCACAGTTTCCTTATTATAAAATGGAGGTGACCATGCCTGTCTTTCCTTCATAAGCTTGTATGTGGGAGTTAAATAGAATAATGCAGTTTCCAGCACGTAGTAAGTGCTCAATAAATGTTTATTACAGACTTCCCTAGCTTAGATCTCTTAAGCATAATTACAAACTAATTGCAATGCCCAATTGTCTATGATCACAGGGGCCAAAACTCCACTTTTAAAGAAGTAAAAGCAGCTCAAAGGCTGTAACTTATACCTTGACTAATGGTTTTATAAATTTTAACTTTATCTCCATTTGGCCTCCCTCTCTTTACCAGACACTTTATTTGGAGAAGTAGTAAAAGCCTGGCTGCAAATCTCAGATACCCCAACAACGTGATGTTGTTGGACAAGTTACTTATGCTACTGGCAATCTCAGTTTACTCATTTTTAACACAGGAATAATGGTATTTGCATTCCTTCTTCCAAGGCTTGTTGCAAATAAAATAGCCACAGGAGAGGACAGTGGTAAAGCTCTCTAAAAGCTCTAAATTGCAAGCCCACTATACATTAGTTGGAGATCTGAATCCATATTGAGAGACCAAGGTTTATGATCTCCTTTCAACACTTCCAATACTTTGCTTACAGACCTGTTTCAATTAAGCATAAACAAATGAGCCAGATGGTGATGTTTACTGAGAAAAATTCCTGATTTCCCTCACACATAGATTGAGCCATATCTCACCTGGGAGAATTCTTCCAAAGGGAAGAATGACTCTCTATATCCCCTCTCCACAATGCCAGTGCCCCAATTTAGACAGAGTGACAAGATGATTCAGTAGGTAAGTGGACATTTGGCCACAATTCCATCTCCTGCACCCACAGAAATGTGTTTGGTTCAAGGCAAATCTGACTAGTAAAGATGGACCTGGAATCTGGCCTGATCCCAGAGGATTGTTTCAGAATACCCCCAAAGAGCTTTAGTGTTGCACTCTGTATTGAGTTTAGGTCCTCTATGAAGGGGCAGGCCTCATTTGGCCATGGACCACCTCAGATTGAAGGGTTCCCAAGGCCCCTAAGGTTTCCCTGGACCACCAAAACCTAAGCAGACCCCTCTTAACAAGAGCCTGAGCCTGGTCTGTTCCACCAAAGCTCTTGTCATCAGCTCAAACCTGGAATAGCCTTCAGGAGCCAATGGGCAGAAGAAGGTGAGCTGGAGAAAGGAGGTAACTCCATAAGCAGTCACTTGACTCTGTCCAGTGTACCAAGGATGGGAATGATGAAGGAAGGTGAGAGCTGGAAAACATAGAGAGAAGGTGAGGTTGGCTCAGGGAAGGAGAAGAAGCCTTCAGAAGTTCAGTGCTTCACCTTACATACACAGGGCCCCCAAATGTTTCCAGATTCCTGATTAAAAGACAACCTCACATTGTTTCACATAGCTGCATGCTGGGAGTGGAGGTGTTGCTAAAGCTTGGCTTCAAACAAGGCAGGTTTGCCAGACTGTTTCAGCAATAAATCTACCTTGAGCAAGTGATGAAAATTGCTGCAGGACCCTTTAAACCATTGACGAAAGATTTGTTAAATATGCTGGAGTCATCTGTTGACTCAGATCCTTTCTGAGGGTTGCACAGACAGGGTAAGTCAAAGAGCTAAGCAGTGGTCTCACTGCTGTGCATTTGGAGGAGACTGGCCCACAAGTAAACAACCAGCAGACAGCCCAGGAAGCCCAAGAGCTTGCTTCAAACTGAGCAGCTCAAGAACCACAGAGCAGGGTTGCAGGTCAAGTCTCAATCATCCCGCTTTAATCCACTATCCTTCCCAGCTTACAAAGGGCTGTCCAATTCATGATATGATCTGAGCTCTAGACAACACTGCCAGAAGCAAAGGCATCTATTTTCAGATGAGGAAATTGTGTCCAAGAAATGAAGACTGAACCCCAAGCCTCCTGACTCCCAGTACAGCTGTTTCCACTGACCTAGCTGCTACTTGTATGAAGGTGCCATTAAAAAAAAAAAAAAAAATGCAGAGCTAAGGAAACTAAGGAGAACAAGGGCCTTGAACTTCTGCTCAGAAAAGCAGGAAGGGAGGCCATTTGGAAGCAGATAAAAGCACCATGCCCATTTCTGGAGTTACAGGGCTGATCCACTGTTCACCTTTGCAGGTCAATGGGGCCTGAATGAAGGGGAAGCTTGGGCTGGTGGACACATGGATAAGGGCCCTGTAGCCAAGAACCACAGCAGTCAAGGGGCTCATTTGCTGCCATTCAGGAAGCAGCCCTGGCAGGAAGACAGAAGCCGGGCAGAGGTACTGTTTCTGATGAGTTCCCTCCCATCACCATTTCTTGGGGCCTTTCATAAATCAGAAGAGCACTTAGATTCTTTTGACACCATTTCCCAAAATGTTGTCTGTGAAAGCCTAGTATCGCCAGATGCTTCATGGAAAAGGGTTTCATGGCCAAACACTTTTGGGAAATGCTGCATACTTTACCCAACTTCGAGAGACTCACAGTGCCCATTTGGATATGGATGACTTTGACTTCTGTCATAAAGTAGATGGCTTAACTTTGTGTGACACTGGGTTCTCCAAACATGTTTAACTACGGATACTCCTCCATTCCTCCTCTACTTAGCATCTGTAAGTCTTATCTAGAAAAAAGAGCTCTTAGCATTAAAGTTGGAAAACCCTCAGTTTGAGTCCTGCATCTCAACTGTTGTGGTGAGCCTGGCCAAGAAGCTTAACTAATTTTGAGCCTTACACACCTCTTCTGTTGAGTGGTGCTGTTATAATACGTATCTCACAAGCTGCTATGAGGACTGTTGTTAGGTGCTGTCCAGTCAATTTTCAAATCACAGCAACCCATGGGTCGTCATGAGGATTAAATAGGTTAAGATGTAGAAATGCTTTCTAAATCTTAAGGCTCATGTGTGTGTAGGTACGCTAGTGGGTATGTGTATATACACTAGTGTGTGGGTGTTTGTGGGTGTGTACACCAGATGACAGTGGCTCAGAGCAACATAATCAATATCTGGTCTCATCTCAAATACACTCATTGGACTTACAAGAAGGTCAGATATTAATGAGAATAGGAAAGGGGGTGAAGAGAAGTGCCACAATGCAGAAGAAGTGGGAAAAGAGATATTTTTTGATAGATAAAGACAATGACAGCACATAACAACAACAAAGACAATGACACTAGCACTTCATTTTTTCAAAAGATTTTATTTTTAGGAGAAGTTTTAGGTTTATAGAAAAATTGTACAAAAAGTACAGCAGTCCCATATACTCCCTCTCCCCCCTGCACACTCTTTCCCATAGTATTAACACCTTGCATTCATATGGTACATTTGTTACAACTGACAGACTAATATGGATGTATTATTAACTAAAGTTCATTGTTTATATTAGAGTTCACTCTTTGTATTATACAGTTGTTTTGGTTACCTCTAGTGTCACCCTAACAGAAAATATATCACAAATGGGTGACTTGAACAAACAGGAGTTTCATTCTCTTACAGTTTTGGAGGTTAGAAGTCCGACTTCAATGTGCCAGGCTCTAGGGGCTGGGCAAAAGCCCCTAGACCTTGGGTTTCAGCTCTGCCTCTTGCTTCTGGCTCACTTAAGCTGGAGGCTTTCTTCACTCAGGCAGCTGCTGGCTGCTGAAGCTGACAAACCCAGGGTCAACAAGTAAAAAGGTACAGTCTTGATATTACCAAACCACAGGGAAGACCATTGATTCAAGTCCATTAAGAGTCCTAAGATCGGCAGACAACATGGCAAGCTGCTGAACAACGAATCAGCTATACGCAGAATTCAAGTATGCCAAAAGCTGAAGACCTTCCTCAAAGTAGCTTCTTACATACTGGGATCAGACCACATCCCCAAAGCAGCTACTCAACTGCTCAGAGTAGTCCACCATGAAGTTGGTTACCAGTCTCAATATGGGGGACAACTACATCCAGCTGCCCAGCCACTCAAAACCAGGTCCAACCAAGTTGACACATAACCTTAACTACCGCAACAGTCTTATGAGTTTATGTAAATGCGTCATGTTGTATGTCCACCATTACAATATCATATAGAATCATTTCAACTCACACTCACTGGCATCAAGTCAACTCTGACTCATAGCGACCCCCTAGGTTATAAATCTTTACAGAAGCAGACCACCTCATCTTTCTTCTGCAGAGCAGCTAATGGGTTTGAACCACTGACCTTTTGGTTAGCAGCCAAATGCCTTAACCACTATACCACCAGAGCTCCTTACAGAATCATTTCACTGCCCTAAAAATGCCCTGTAGCACTTCATTTGGATTCTTAACTTTCCCTCCACACACACAAAAAGCATAATATGTAAGGCGTGGTTAAATGTCTTTCTTACACCTCTCTCTCTCTCACTGCCATCAAGTCAATTCCAATTCATTCCAAACCCCATTGGGTTTCCAAGGCTGTAAATCTTTATGGAGCCAGAGTGCTTCAGCTTTCTTCCATGGAGCAACTGTTGGGTATGAAGCACCAACCTTCTAGTTAGCAGTCAAATGCCTTAACCACTGCACCACTGGAGCTCCTATTCTTACTACTATCAATAATAAAATGTTTTATTGGGGTAAACGACATTAAATTGCTATTAAAACCATGTTTTTCTTCTGAGCCTCAAAAGAGACTAGAACCTCGGAACCATAAGTCTAGCCACTAGGTCTGGCTGTGAAAGGAATCTGCTCAGTTCCTTTACAAAAGGTTATTTACAGGAATGTGTATCTGTTGTTCCCTAGGACACATCAATGGAGATGGAGAAGCACCATTGTATACTTTCTTCAAAGGAAGGCGACAATGAAAAGACACAGCAAACCTCTCAGAGGGCCTTGGGGCATGTCCACATAGATCATTCTTGGCTCCCGAGTGACAGATCCCACATTACATTCTGTGGAGGTGCCTTCCCTAACAAGAAGGCAAATCTCAGTGGTAAGAAGCTAAGTGTCTTACTTGTTGATGTGGGTAAACCTAACCATGCAGAATTCATTTGAGCACACCAGAGTCATCCTGAGTGTCACTTCCTTGTACCACTCACCTTAGAAGATAACAACCAGAGTTCAGCTGGAGGTTGACTCAGGACCCTGACAGTCTCCTCTTTGTCTAATGCTTAACTACACACCTTCTGGAATCAGATTGCCTGGGTTCAAATCATACTCCACTTAGCAGCTATCTGTGATCAATTAAGTTACTTAATTTTGCTGAGGCTCAGTCTCCTCGTTTTTAAAAATGGGGATTAAGTGTGCTAATGGATGCAAAATATTTGCACAATTCTTGTCCCATATTTAGTGCTCAAGGCATATTATTATTATAATTATGATTACTGTCTCCATCGCCTGACTCAGCCAGTAAGAACCCAACCCAGCAAATGAAATCCGGGTTCCCTGAAACTGCCTCAGCCAAAGCTATAGCTGTCTCAGTCCTCCATTACCCTCTCTGCCTTTCTTCCTATTAATCAAAAAGTGACGAAAATTGAAAGTTGACTGTCCATCCTCATACCTGCAACTAAGTCCTCACTGCCATCCTGTTTCTGCAGAGAAACAAGAGACCGTGAAGCCCCTCAAGGACAGAAGCAGCGACTTGTCACAGAAGCCTCCTGTAGAAAGATGCCTTTTCCCTCCAGTACCATCTGCCACTGACTCGGAAAAAAACACACCTGGGGAAGTGAAGAAGAAAAAGGTCGTGTGTGTGTGTGTGTGTGTGTGTATGTGATTGGGTGACTAGGAAGATCTAGGAACAAGGTGACTCAGAAGGATGCATCAACAGAGAACTGCTCTCACTCACTTCTGCGTTCACCATACAGGGCTGGAATAAAACTGCAGTAATTTACGAAATGTTGAAAAGAGGGAAATACAAGGAATTTTGGCTGCCCTCAAGTCTACCTGAAAGCTTGTTATATTACCAAACTCCCCTGGTGCCAACAGAATCCTTTGTAAAGCGGCCACGAGTTGTCTGTAAACATGTAAGGACAGCAATTGAGCTTGTAAGGAATTGGCCCACTTCAAACTCAAAAGTGCTCAATGCTGTGAATCCAGCAATATTTTGGCTCAATTTGCTCAACTGGAAAATTTAGGGTAAACTGTTCAAGTGTACCAACCCCTTTCAGAAGCAAGGTGCATCTCCTTCCTTAGAGATGTTCTTAGCCGTCTTTGGCCCAGTCCTGCCTTGTAGTTCTCTGTGAGTCTGGCAGTTTTTAGGCACCAGGATGAATAGGAGCCAGCAGGGGCTCTGGAAGGCAAAGGCACGGCCTAGAGTCTCAGCTCTGCCCACGGCAGCTGTGTGAATTTGTTTGGGCAGGTCACTCCACGGTCTGGTTGTTGGTGACTGTATTGTTTGTATACAGATAAAAATTCTAATCTTAAGGGCTGAGGGGAGAAAGAAAGGAGATATCTCATTGGGAACTATAGCCATGGTAGTTAATTGTGGGAATTTGTGTTATCTGAAGTGGCCCTGAAGGAGCCCCGGGCACTCCAGGTAGTCTTGGTGCCAATGAAAGGGTGTTTCCAATCTGTTGAGGATTTTCTCAGATTTCTTGTACCTAAACTGATCTACACCTTCCCATTTGCACCAGGCTCCTTTGGACCAGGGGCAAGCTGCAGGCTGACCTGCCAGAGTCACTGCAGGCTTAAGGAAGGACCGGGACCTCCAGCTCCGAGCCAGCTCAGAACTGAACCGGGGTCAAAGGAAACAGCCCCTCCCCTCCACTCCTGTATATGGTTTAGCAGAGGAAAGCAACGTTTTCCACTATATTAAAATTCTGTGCAAATTTTCATTAGAATAAAGAAATTAATTCTTGGCTTGTCAGCCATACCTCACACAAATCGTCTTGAGTTTCCACATAGATTTCTAAATGCAAACCTTGTCAAACAAATCGCACAAGGTCAGTATTCAAAGACAGGCAGTTGGTGGGCAGCGGGCACCTGGACAGTGAAGGTCTCAAGGAACATAAATATCCTATGTGTATGTGTTTGGTCAATAATTTTCCTAATGTCTCAGAATTATAAATGCTACCCAGCATATGTTTTGGTTAAATTTCCTTTCTCATTCAACTCTAAAGATATAGGACGGTTACATGCATTTCTGGTCATTTTTCTTTTGCCTTCTGAGAACTAAAAAATGAGAAATATTTTAATTTTTTTCTATGAAATTGAGCCAAGCACACACAAATTCTTAAAGCTAAGTTCGTATGTCAAAGGTTGCAAACTAAAAGGAGAAAACTGCAGCAACTTTTGAAAAATTGGAAACAGGAGGCTCTAATTACTACTTCTACTCTCAGTCTCTCTCTCTCGATCTCTCTCTCTCTCCATACATACACATACATTATACACATACATTACCTTAGTAGTTACAGTCAAGTTAATTTCAATCGTGACAACTCCACGTGTGTCAGCAGAACTGTGCTCTGTGGTTTCCAGTGACTGGTTTTTCAGAAGTAGATCACCAGGACTATTCTCCCAGATGCCTCTGGGTGGACTTGAATCTCCAATTTTCTGCTCGCAGCTGAGCATGTTAACCATTTGCAGTACCCAGTGACTTCACACGCACATATACGTGCATATGCAGGTACACATTTATATCTATATAAGAATGATCTATTTATGTACGCAAGGAGCTTCTTGGTGCAATGGGTAAGGCATGGGTAACCAGTCAGAGGTTCAAAACCACCAGCCACTCTATGCGAGGAAGATGAGGCAATCTACTTGCATAAAGATTTACAGCCTTGGGAAACCCACAGGGGTCACTATGAGTTAGAATTGACATATGGCATTGGGTTCTTTGGTTTATTTATGTACGTATATATTTTTCTCAAAAGAAAAAAAAAAACTGGCCAACTGTGGTTGATTCTGATAGATAGGGATTCTTGTTCATTCACACTCATATTGGAGAAGTATAGAGAAGCACAGATACACTACTACTGGTTAGATTGGATATTAAACTCTAATGAGAGGAGAGTCTACTCTCAAAGCATCATAGAGATAATCCTAGTTCTACTATTATAACTACACACATTAACTTATTTAATCCTCACAATAATTGTTTGAAGCAGGTAGTATGATTATTTCCATTTCACAGAGGAAGAAATTGAGGCTTGAAGAGGTTTCATAAAGCAAGAAAACACAAATATATATTCTTATTCTCTGCCCTTTCTCACTGAATTGTTGCACACTCAGTATTCTTCACCTTTCTGTCTTCCCTTAAGAATATTTGCCAAAATTTCTCCCTATCAATACATAGCGATGCTGCTATATCATTTCAACAGGACTCAATTTTCCCAGCTATAAGAGTAAGGAAGACTGTATTTCCTCTTCATAGTTCTTGAATTTATCGCATTTATAATTCTCAAAGTAATAAGAAGCTGGATTAACGAGGCATGAACTCCCCAAAGTGTCCCACGCCATCAGATGCACTGCTCCCAGATTAGTTCCGTTTACTTCCTCAACCACAGGTGGTGCTGAAGCTACACCACCACCACCCAGCAGTGCAGATACAATATCATTTGCCCCCTGCAGGCAGCAGGGTTTGGAGACTTGCCATCTTGGTTTTTGTTTTGTTTTTAAATTTTCTCCAGGCGCCAAAGGCTTTGAAATTACCTCCCATCTCAGAAGAACCACCCAGAGTCCTGGACCCCCTGAGGAGTCAATTTAATGCCAAAGAGCCTCCAACAGAGCTCTTTATCTTCCCAATGGAGATTCATTTCCAAGCCCCACAACCCCCCAAAGAAAAGGCCTGCAGAAGAGGTAGGGCCCCTGTGGACGGGTGCTCTAGAGGGACTCAGGCAGGGCAAGAATGGCTGGGATGTGGGATCTGGCTAATCCAACCTTTGTTTAATCTCCCCTTTGTCATAGCTGACCCTCCTCAGAATCATCACCTTTAGATAATTGTGTTTTGGTTTTTTTAAGAAGAAAAAGGGTAAATTTTAGAAATATGTCTCTTTTGATCATGTTTATTTCAGTTTTAAGTATTTTTATTAAGCCCTTCATTAAGCAATGCATTTTGCTGAACTGTGGAAGAGACTAACATAGCAAGATGTCCTACATTCAAGGACCTTACAAAGGAAGATAGGTATGCGTGTAAATAAACTCAATGCATGGTAGCATGAGAGTAAAGGTGCAACAATTTCTAGGCAACTTACAAAAATATATACAATGTAAAACAGGACAACTGAAAATGAAATAACAAACAAAAATAGTTAAGAGGAGCCCAGAAATAGGTGTTTCCAGACATCTGGGATAAATTGATGGATTTAGGTAAGCACCAATTTAGCCAAGGAAAAAAGGAATAGTTGGATGCTCATCTTATAAAAGTTTGTCTTAAGAGTCATTTTCTTGATTTTGAATTAGGTTGTTACATAACATTGTGAAATGACCTCTACGCTCCTTGCCAGGCAGAGATTTCGTGCTTCTAAGGAAACTGCTAACAGGGTATAGACAAAGGAGAAAGAGGTCAATTCCAACTGGGACTTTGGAAGGCTTCTTAGATATGGGCTTCTGAGTGACTTCTCATCCTGCATCCTCATTCTGCTCTTCCCAACTCATTCTACAGCACCCTTTCTAAGGTGCATCCTTGCTCCTGGGGCTTCTCTGGGCAGTCAGAAGGAAAAAGTGACTCTAAACAGCTGACTCCAATTTTGAGGAGGTCCTAATTCTGGATTTTTTAGAAACTTCAGCAGAACTACCACTGAATTGTCAGTGAGTTTTGACTCTTAGGAGTCATACAAGAAGCCATTTTGTTCTCAGGCTGTTTGGAATTCTCACCATGTATATGAATGCCTAATTATTGCATTTAAAAGACCAGCCAATGGAAGGGGATATAAGGGAACCCTGGGGGGCAATGGATATGTTCTAAATCCTCATTGGGGTATTGGTTTCATAGGTATATATATTGTCCAAACTCAGTGAATTGTACGCTTAAGATCTGGGCATTTCACCGTATGTAAATTTTACCTTTAGAAAAAAAAATTACCCTGCACTCCTTAACACTCGCAGAGAGAGAGAGAGAGAGAGAGAGAGAATTCTATTACCGGGCTTAGGATAAAGACTGATTATTCTCCATGATGACAGTGACAGGAAGGTCAGGAACATATCAAGGCTATCATGAACCAGATTCTTATAGTTATTAGATACATTAAACTTGTCAACACATTGCTAAATGGAAAATAGAAATAACATACAGAAAAAAGTTAATTCATTGAGTTCTTCCATCCTTTGTATGTCAATGAGGACTCTCTTAATTGCAATTGTCAGAAACCTAACTCAAACTGTCTTAAGCAAAAAGTGAAATGTATTAGCTCATGTAATTGGAAAGTACAACGATCAGATAACATCTGGTACAGTTGGCTCCAGGACTCAGAAAATATTATCTGGGCACTATTTCCCTAAGTCTCTCAACACTGTTGGCCTTTCCTCTCAAGCAGATTCTTCTCATGTGGTAACAAAAATGACCTCCTGAAATTCCAGGCTAACCTCCTACTGTTAATTCCAGTAGAAAGGATGCCTCTTAACAGATACCCTTGCAAAAGTTCCAGAATTGCCTTTGATTGGCCAAGCTTCGGTCATGTGCCCATCCTGAACTCAATCACTGTGGCTAAGGCAATAAGGTACTCTCAATAGCCAGGCTTCAGTCACATGCCCATCCTTGGAGCCAGGAAATAAACACAGTCCCACCCATACCTCATGGTCAGAGTAAGGGAGGGGTGGGTCCCCAAGAGGAAGAAACTGCTGGAAATACAACAGACATCTAATACAGCTTGGTATCATTGTCTCGTAGGTGCTCCATGCCCTGAGACAGAACCAGAAACAGAAGAGCCCAGGCCTTTATGGAGGCCTCCTCTGAAGCATGTGTCCTTACAAAGGCCTCGGGAGTTAACAGTGCATCTCCCAGTGGACACTGGCAGGGACACACTCTCACCTCAAGGTAGCTCCTCCCTCCCTCCAGCATCCCACAGGAATCTCACTTTGAAGGGAAGCAAAGCAAGACAAACAAGGCCACTCAGCCAAGAAAAAGGAGGCTGGAAGGGAGGGCAGTTCATCCCCAGCCACTTGAAGATGGCTTTTGCTCAGGCCTTAAGCAAAGTGCTATAGTAGAACTAGGAGCTCTGGTAGCATGGTGCCTAAGACATTTGACTGCTAACCAGAAGGCTGGTGGTTCAAACCCACCAGCCCCTCCTCAGAAGGAAGGTTGGGCAAGCTCCTATCCGTAGTGATACAGCCTCGGAAACCAAGGAAGGGTTGCTATGAGTTGGATTCAACTCGACCTAACTTAGTGTCTAGCTCACAAGTTACTAACTCACTAAATCATCTCCCCACTGATATTTTCTGGTCACACATGTAAATACTACCAAACTTCCTTAAAATTCACTGCCTGCTCTGTATTTCATCCTGTTTTTAACAAATGAAATTTCATGTCTAATCTGTTTATGAATATGTGTTTATTTATTTAAAAACCCATAATGTCAATAAAAGTCTTCATTTCAATTACTCAGAACATCATATGGACATTTGAGATTATACACATGGGTTCATCTAAGTGTATATTTTCATGTGCTAGATAGGCTGAAGCTAAGGGATTGTATTTAGCAATCTTCCCATTTTCAGAAAACTGAATCTATTTTCCAGAGGATTGTACAAGATAATGGTATCACAAATGTGGTTTTCTCTGACTAGTGGTAACCAGAAGTAGAAGGATAAACGCTATATTAGTTTCCTAGGCAGCATAACATAATATCATGAACTGGATGGCTTATAAGACAGAAACTTTTTTTTTCACAGTCCAGAAGCTGGGAGTCCAAGATCAGGGTGTTGACAATGCTGATTCCTTCTGAAGCTTCAAGGGAGAATCTGCCCCATGCCTCTCTTCTGGCTTCTGGTATCTCCAGGCATTCCTTGGCTTATAGCATCACATGGCATCCTTCCTCTGTCTCCTTGTCTCCATGTCTCTTCTCTCTTATAAAGATACCAGTCATACAGGATTAGGACCCACCCTAATACTCCAGTATGACCTCATGTTAACCTAACTGAGAACATCTCATTGTTGTTGTTGTTGTTGTTATGTGCCGTCGAGTTGACCTGACTCATAGCGACCCCTTCTTGGGTTTCCGAGGCGGTATCGCTACGGAAGTAGATCGCCCAACCTTCCTTCTGAGGAGTGGCTGGTGGGTTTGAACCGCCAGCCTTCTGGTTAGCAGTCAAGTGCCTTAGGCACTATGCTACCAGAGCTCCCAATAACATCTTCAAAGACCCTGTTTCCAAAGAGGATCACATTCACAGGTACAGGCGTTAGGACTTCAACATATATTTCCTGAAGAACACAATTCAATCCATAACAAACATTAAAATGTATTGAGTTCTTCCTCTGTGCAAGGCAATGTCCTTAGGTTTTTTTTTCCCTTTATTTTTTATTTTTATTGAGTTTTTAACATGTATTATCTCATTTACTCCTCATGATCATCTTATTATCCTGAGAAATAAGCAACTTGTTCGAGATCACACAACCCTAAGTGGCTGAGCTGGGACTGGAGCACAGGCTGTCAAGTGCCAGAAGCTGTGGTCTTACCCATTACACTGCACTGCCTTTCAGTACAAACAAAACAGTGAACCTATGTCAGAACAGAACATTCTGGAGATATTTAGGTTTTATGAACTTCCTTTGATTATCAGGGCTTGTTTACTCTATCTTTGGTGAGTTATTCATCCTGAAGACTTTGAACTTTCTTTTTTAAAAAGCCAAATATGGTCAGGATGGCTCCATGTGTAAATACATTAAAAACTAGCCGTCTACCTGTGGGCTCCAGCATGAGCGTGCAGCCTGAGCCACTGACACAAACGGCAATCCAGTGAGTTTTGTCTCTGGTGTTACTCACCTTGTGCTGCCTTCACTTGTTCTAAGCTGCCGTGTCCCTCAGGGATCCTAGTACATAGAGACTTTTCCATGCCTCTGCCACCCTGCCAGAAAAAAGCTGTTCCAATAAGTGACCTGGCCCAGCAGTAGGTGCAAAGAAATCCAAAGAGGCTAGTCTTTCATGGCACACTTTTTCATGCAAAAGGTCTCATTTAGAGCAGTGAGCGGGACTGCCGCATTGCCACAGAGATGGGCTGTGTACAAATGGTTCACAGCTAACCTATGCGGATAGCCACCTACTTGAGGCCCTGGATTATTTCCCCTCTCGGAAGGAAGGTTGGGCAATCTACTTCCATAGTGATACCACCTCGGAAACCCAAGGTGGGGTCACTATGAGTTGGGTTCAACTCAACAGCAGTGAGTTTGGTTTTGTTGGTTCAATATCACAGATAGGACCCCTGGTGGTGCAACAGTTAAGCGCTGAGCTTAAATGGAATCCATCCAGTGTCTCCACAGGAGAAAGAACTGGTGATGTCCTCCCATATAAAGATTACAGCCTGGAAAGCCCTATGTGGCAGTCCTACTCTGAGAATGAGTCAAAATCATCTTGGTAACACCTAACAACTACAACACTATCACAGAAATGAAGCTAGTTTTTATACATAAACATATATATGTAAGTATTTTGTTTTATTGCTGAGCCATCTGAGTAAGTTGCAGAGATTGTACGTTTTCTCTATCACCGGGTATCTCCTAAAACCAAGGATATTCTCTCTCATAATACAATTATCACAATACAATTATCATACTCAAGAAAGTTAACATTGATATATACTATTTTCTAATATACAGTCTATATTCATATTTCTCTGTTTATACCAATAATTCTCTGTAGCTGTTGTTTTTCTTTCCAATCAGGATCATATGTTGCATTTAGTTGTCACATTGCTTTAGAATTTTTAAATCTAGAGCAGTTCCCCTGGCCCAATGTCTTTCACAACATCGACATTTTTGAAGAGTAGAGGCCAGTTGTTTTGCAGAATTGCCTTCACTTTGGATTTGCCTGTTTTCACATGATTAGGTTCAGGGTAATAGTTTCTGGCAGGTATACCACATAGGCGATGTTGAGTCCTCAGCATATCACATCAGGGGACATAAAGTGTGAATTTGTTCCATTAAAAGTGATGTTAAATGTCCTTATTCAGTTAAAAATGTGTCTGCCAGATCTCTCTACTGTAATAAACACCCAGTCTGCAGGATGATAATACAATGAGACTGTAAGTGAAGCTAGCTTTTAAACAAATAGCAATAGGTGTGTTGAACATGAAATAAAAACGACTCTCCAAATGAGATTAAGACAAAGCCTTAATCAATTAGATTCACTCTTCCTAGAACAGTTCCTGCTGGTTTTGAGAATAGTTAGAGAAAGAGAAAACAGAGGTGGAGGGTAGAATGTGCTTTATGGAGGGTTGTCATCACTCCCATTTCACTCTCACTGCCATATTGGGGGGGTATACTTTGTACCTTATGTGCCTTAAGGGGGCAATGTGATCATTGGCTCTTGGCTCTGCTTAACAAAATTGCTTTGTGACTGGAAATCTGTATCCCATAATCCCTGAGTTCTAAAGCTAGGGGGCTCCCTCCTTAGAGTCTTCAGATTGAGGACTGCAAGGAGTTTGCAGTCTCTTGTCCTTCTAGCGCAAGATCTGTCAATAAGCTGAGAACAACAACAATCATTGTTCAATTCCTTTCAGTTCTTGGAATCTCCCAAATGAAAGGCCACTGTTCTAACCATGGAAGACTTCTGCTCCTTAGCAGGGCTAGAAAGGGATAAATTGAGAATGAGTGGAATAAACCACCTTGCACACTAGGAACCACCATCACTGAGTAGGAAAAGAAGTTCTTCCTCCTTTCTGCTAATGCAGAAGTTCTCTCTCTCTTGCTCTTTCTCCATTTGCTTTTCAAGATGAGGAGGCCCCGGCTGAGAATGAAGTCTCAGCCCTGGGTCTTCTGTCCCTGACAGAGCCAGAGAGCCAGAGAGACCTGGACAACCCCAGGACATCAGGCCGCAGCAGCCCCACAGACCCCTTGAATGTGAGACAGCCCGGGAGGGAGCTCCCAGAAGAAGGACAAGGTAACCATTCCCAGGGCGCAGTTGCCCCAGCTTCCCATTGGCTTGTCTGGCCCTGGCTCATTTTCATCATCAGCCAGGGCTGCATGGCAGCCATGATGTAAGCTCTCTAAAAGCCACCCCATTGCAAAGGGGAAATGGGCAGGGTTTCCAACGATGTCAGTGGGATTAGTGTTCACTAAGCATATTCCTCAAGAGTCAGTACATGTTTTAAGGGGTTTGCTGCACCAACATGCATTGCCACGCTGGTTCGCGCTTTCCTCACTCCTGGCAGCAGCGTGTGATGACACAGCTCCCTGTGCTCACAGGGGAGACATGCTGCTGAATTTATCAGGCATACTGAACCCTAAGCCACAAACCTTCTACCCCACACCCCAAAAGAGCCTTGCGACCCTGTCAATAGGAAGAGTCTCCTGAAAGAATTCACCCTCCAGCCCACAGCAAAGCTCGCAGTCAGGGATGGAGCTTGCATTGCTACTGAAGAGTGAGGCAGGGCAAGGCCATGCCCTCTACAACTTGGTACTTGATGTCAGTTGTGCTGGAGTTAATTCTGAATCATGGAGACCCCATGTGTGCTCCACAGGGTTTCCAATGTCATTGTGACCTTTCAGAAGCAGATCACCAGGCCTGTCCTCTGAGGCTCCTCTGGATGAATTCAAACCATTAATCTTTCAGCTAGTAGTTGAACACTTAACTATCTGGGCCACCCAGAGACAATTCCTCTGTGATAAGATAAAGTTCTTATCTTTAAGGAGCTGACAGTCAAGGAGAGGACTAAGATGCTTATACAAGAGCGAAAAAACACAAGGACAGTGCAGCAGTAGCTTCAAGGGGCCCTTTGATCTAAAGGGAGTTCATAAAGCAAAAATTGCTTAGAGCCCAAATTACCCCTGAAAACCCGTTAAGGAGGCATCATGCTGGAGGCTAACAAACCGTTTTCCAGTAAGTGCAGCCCAGCCAGCTGTCCCCCCCTCATCTGAGCACTGGACTTCTTTTTCCAGTTGAGTATCAGATAAAGGAGAGGGTGTGCTTTTTTGGGGGCAGACTTTGTGAAGAGATTATCTGTTAACATCAGAATCACACTCCAGGCTGCAAAAGAAATTCACACTCCCAGAGACATGTGGGAACCAAGAGCCACAACACAGTTCACACCTTTTATCTCATGCTCCCTCAGGGACAGAATGTCTCACTATTTAAAGTTCTCTAGATGGGGCAATCTACTTCCGTAGTGATTGTTGTTGTTGTTGTTATGTGCCGTGGAGTCGTGGAGTCGTGGAGTCGTGGAGTCGGCCCGACTCATAGCGACCCCTCCTTGGGTTTCCGAGGCAGTATCACTACGGAAGTAGGATTGCCCAACCTTCCTTCCGAGGAGTGGCTGGTGGGTTTGATACTGCCTTGGAAACCCAAGAAGGGGTCGCTATGAGTTGGGTCTGACTCGATGGCACACAACAACAACAACAACAGCTCTCTCTATATATCTCTCTCTCTCTCTCTCTCTCTCTCTCTCCCTCATCCATTCCTCTTTCCCCAAGCATATAGAGTTGAATTCTTATAAGCATAAATTAAATACATTATTGTTATTGTTGTTATGTGCCATCGAGTCAGACCCGACTCATAGCGACCCCTCCTTGGGTTTCTGAGGCTGTATCACTACGGAAGTAGATTGCTCCATCTTCCTTCCGAGGAGAGAGGCTGGTGGGTTTGAACCGCTAGCCTTCTGGTTAGCAGTCAAGTGCCTTAGGCACTATTCTACCAGAGCTCCTAATTAAATACATGGATAAATAATATCATTATCTGTTCATAGCCTCTTCATGTAAGGCTGCAATGGTCAAAACTAAATCCCCTCCCCCATAACACACACATACACACGCACACACATACACACAGCCCCCAAAAATGTTGTGTCCACTTAGAAACCATTTCCAGTAGTAGTGATGCTTTCTTAATTTTGACACAAACTTTAGGTACTGTGATGTCGGCAGCAAGGGCCTTCCTAGGAGATTATATAGCCCAGAACACATCACATTGAACACACACACACACAGACATCAAACATCTTGAACCAGGAGGAACTTGAGTAAAACCAATATCAGGGCCATAGCTACAAGAGGGCAACTGGAAGGCTCAAATGTATTTGGTGGTTAGGGGTACGTGCATGTGTGTGTGTGTGTGTGTGTAAGCAAATGTGTGTGTGAGTACATGAGTGTCTCAGTGTATGGGGTGATGTGTGTGCTTGTGTGCCCATGTGAGTGCAGACATGTAAGTGCTTATGTCATACATGTATATGTGTGGGTGTGAGTGTATGATTGTGCATGTCTACATATGTATGCATACTTGCAAATGAGCATGCAAATGTGTGTGGATGCCTGAGTGCACCATTGTGCATATGTGTATGTATGTGTATGCCTATGTACATGTGTGTAAGTGCATGTCCATGTACACATACCTGCATGTATGTGGTTGTGAGTGTATGTGTGCATGTCTTGTGTAAATGTGCATATATATGCATATGTGTAAATGTGCATGTGTGCACACCTCTGTGAATATGTGTGTGCATGTGTTTGTAAATGCTTCTGTATTTGTGTTTGTGTTGTGCTTCTGTGTGTGTGTGTGTGTGCTCTTAAACATTCATTGTGGCTGGTGACCATCCCTACTCTAGCCCCTTTACCTTGGAGATGGGGAAGGTAAGGTTACAGAAACACCTTCAATCTTTCTAAGCACCTGTGGAAAATACACCTTTCTTCTCCCCCTTGGACTGAACTCCCTGGAGTCACTAAGCAGTCCCAGCATTTGGTCCCTGCATCAGGGTATGGCTGTGCATGCTGGGCACTGCACAAAGGCATCTGATGAAAAGTGAGCATGGAGACTGGAATCACCAAGCTCTGTACCCAGAGGCTGGACTGCACACACCTAGAAGAAGGGGCTTCCTTTCCTTTACACAAGGTTTCCCTCATCAGCAACTCTGCCCATTAGGGCTACTTGAGCCCAGACAGGGCACCATTTCCAGACTCACACAAAGGCAAGGTTTAGGCTAGTGGTAGTGAGAGATCCCAGAGGACAGGGCCTAAACAATGAATGGCTTTGCTCTGCCAAATTCCAGGAGCAGGATTCATTCTATCCTCTGGTGAGCACCTGATTACACAGGTATCTCTGTGCTGCCTGTACCCACTGGGAATTAGCGGAACACAGTCCAGATTCAGCCTCTCTCACCTGCACTGGTGCTAACACTCCCCATGTCTTGTGCTTATTTTAAAGAAGATTCCAGAGACCCCACACTGAGACACTCCTTCCTGGGTCCACATGGAGAAAAAGTCTTCCTGTCCTTCCTGGGGCCTACCCAAACCAAGGATCTTCTGCTGGTTGAAGGTAAGATGACACATTCCAGGTTAGCCTCTTTGCAAAGGGGAAATTTTTACCTGTAGCTTCCAAAACATCCCAGCAGCAGAGACATCATTAAAAACAGACCCAAGTCAGCTGGTTTCTCCCCCTTATTGACACAGTAGTGCTTCTGTAGCTCAGACACAATAACCCAATGTTTGCATAACAAGTTTACTCTTGCTGGAGAAGCTGGAAAGAGATGTTCCAGTGGAATGGCTTGGAGGAGGTCTAATGTGCCGTGTTGATGCCTTGATGAGAATGATAAAGCCCTTCTGGTATTTGCCCAAACTAAACACTGCCTTTCTCTTCTTTCCAACCACCCTCCAGAGGTGGAGGTGGCTAATTGATAATCCAATCAGGTGTTTTGTTATGTGCGTTGGTTCATTATTGTGAATCATCTGACTCCTGACAGATATCAAGGTCGTTTCCAACAACCCTTCTGGCACATTTACTTTTTGGAAAATAGATGCTGGCTCTGGGCATAGCCATTGTGCAAAAGGAGGGACAAAAAAAAAAAAATGAAGTCAGAGGCTGGTGAATGTCAATCACCTAGAACCATCATGATGTGTATGCATAAATAGTAAAGCCATCAAGCCTCTTGCTGAGGGAGATTACAATCTGCACTCATTTGTTGGATTATGTCACAACTGGCTTAATAAAAGAGGATGGACTCAGAACCAGGAGGTTGGAGTAGCCCTGGCTTGTCATCTTACATTACCAGGTGATTTGGGGTCAGTCCCTCATCCTCCCTATGCTTTTGGTTCCAAATTCAGCATTAAAGAATATCCATCACCTCTTGAGTTATTCCATCATGTGAATATAAAAATAACTTTGTTCTAGCAATTAGTCCAAAGGCCCACATGAGTCACTACCTCCTCTAGCCTGATACAAGAAGAACCAGATGGTGCCTGACGACCACCACTGTCCATGCTGACTAGGACCACAACAGAAGGTCCTGGCTAGAATGGATTTAAAATGTAGAACAAAACTCAAATTAAAAAAAAAAAAAAAGACCAGACTTCCAGTTCTGAAAATGACTGACGGAATCCCCAAGACTACTGCCCTAAGACAGCCTTCTAACCTGAAACTCAAAACACTCCTGGAGGCCACATCTCAGCCAAATAATGGACAGGCTTATAAAATAAATGGTAATACACATGAAGAATGTGCTTCTTAGAATAATCAACCATGCAAGACCAAAAGGGCAACATTTGCTCAAAACCAAAGACAAGAAGGCGGCGGGGCGGGGGGGACAGGGAAACTGGATGAATGAAAAGGAGGAACCCAGGAAGAATATGGGAAGAGTGCTGACAGATTGAGGGGATTGCAACCAATGTCGTGGAACAATTTGTGTATGAATCAGTGATTGGAAAACTAATTTGCCATGTAACCTTTTCACCTAAACCAGAACAAAATGTTTTTTTAAAAAAAAACAAAACCTACATTCTGAATTTTCTAAGTTGATGGAAGCAGGAGTTAGACAGGTAGAGACCACTGCCAGTGTGGCACACAGCTGGTACAACAGCTGGAAAGCAAACATAATTCTGTTCACCTGCTGCACATTGTCCACTCTTGGCAAAGCAAAAGTCAGAAGCAGAAAAAGAAATATTTAGGTTTAAATTTGTTATCACCATTGTCAATATGATGCTTCTGGCATTTCTGTATCCCCAGCACCTAGCACAGGCCCTGACACATACATAGCAGGATCACAATAAATGTTCATTGAACAATCTTTCAATAATTTGCACATTGAAGGAAGAAAGAAAGGAAAAGAAGAAGAAAGGGAGAGAGAAAGGAGTCAAGGTAAGAGTGAGCAATGAAACTTACACTGAATAAGTGGAGGCTTGCCGGCCACTTTGTCCCAGTCCCATGGATAAAATATTTCATTCTTCTTGCCTCTCAAACCAGAAGGCATTCAATGTGTGGTTGTTGAATGAATCAATCACCAGTCAGTCAGTCAGTCAGTCACTGGCCTTTCTCCAGTCTTTCCCTCATATACAGTTGGTTGACTTCTTTTTTTTTTTTTTAGTTTGGGTGAAGGTTTACAGAACAAATTAGTTTCCCATTCAGCAATTTATGCACATTTTGTTTTGTAATACTAGTTTCAATCCCCTCGGAATTATAGCACTCTTCCCATTTCCCTCCTATTTCTACTTACTCATCTTCTCTGCCCCTTCTTGCCTTTTGAGCTTTGTTTGGGGCAAATGATGCCCTTCTGGTCTCATATTGTTGATTGTTTTGAGAAGCACATTCCTCAAAGGTATTATTGTTCACTTTATAGGCCCATCTACTGATTGGCTGAAGGAGCTCTGGTGGCATAGTGGGTAAGGCATTTGGCTGCTAACCAGAAAGTCAGTGGTTCAAACCCACCAGCTGCTCCACAGAAAGAAGATGAGGCAATCTACTTCTGTAAAGCTTTACAGCCTTGGAAACCCAATGGGGGTCACTATGAGTTGGAATCGACTCGATGGCAGTGGGTTTGGGTCATTTTATTGATTGGCTGGAAGGTGATCTCTGGGAGTAGGTGCAGTTCCAGGTTTGAAGCTAAGGGCCATAGTCTGGTGCTTCCACCGATCTCTATCAAACCAGTAAATCTGGTCTTTTTTATGATATTGAATTTTGGTCTACATTTTTCTCCCACTCTGTCCAGGACTTTCTATTGTGATCCTGATCAGAGTGTTTGGTGGTGGTAGCTGGCTTCATTTAGTTCTTCTGGCTTCAAGCTATGGAGGCTGTGGTTTGTGTGGCCCATTACTCCTTTGGACTAATTGTATCCTTGAGTCTTTGATTTTATTCGATCTTCATTGTTCCAGATGGGAAGAGACCAATGTTGTATCTCATATGGCCATTCACAAGCTTTTAAGATCACAGTCATGACCAAGTCATAGTTGGAAGGAGGCACAGGACTTAAACCCACATCTCTACACAAGAGTCCACAGAACAAGTCTAGCTTTCTAAGTGTCTCTATTAATGGCAAGTAGTTTGCTTTTCAGGCTATCTGTTTGTTGTTGCTGTTGTTTTGAGAAATAGTATCCGGAACAAATTTCCTCCTCCTGGAATGGATTTGTTCGAAACCACACCAAATTCTTTTGCAGCTTAGTTTGTTCATATCCATCTTGATCACCATTCTCACACTACCCCTCCAGTCTCATCTCCCATTATATCTCAGCCCACCCTTTTCTTGGGTCCTTGATGGTCCAAACACTCAGTCTTCCTTCTCTCATCTCCAAGTCTTTGATCAAGTTGGCTCCAAATATTTAGACTAGCTTTAAGTTCCAGGTTAAGGTTCATCTTTTCTGGAATATTTTCCTTAATAAATCCCACTCATCTCATAGAGCTCATTCCTCTCTTTCAATCCCATTCCTGTGCTTATTGTATTTATCTGCATCTGTTTTCTGTTTCACTCCCAGATATATGCATGTTAGAGAACAAAGATAACCTCTTATCTTTATCATATGTTCAAGAAATGCTTCTTGACTGACTGAATACCCCAGGTGGCAAAAAGGAAAGTTCTTTTGGGACCATAATTGTTGCTGTTTTTTTAAAATGATAAAAAGTCTTGAGTAAAGGAGGGAATATGATCTGTCTGATCTTTCTGAGACTTTCAGATTCTGTCAACATCTATTTGGAAATAAATTCTTAGGCAATTAGATCATCCTATCTTGCTTTCAGACAGCATGGAGAAATGAATAAAACTTCAGAAGGGAAAAAAAAAGATTTGAAGACAAGAGCTGGAATTTGACTCTCTTGGTCATGTTGAGATATTGCAACACTTAGAAATTTTAAACACTTGAGAAAGGAAAAGTTGACTTGGAAGGATATAAATTAGAACACTGGATATGCTCTCTGAATTGCTTACCCTTGACTCAAATCCTTCATCTATTCTCCCAGCCACGGTGCCAACAAGAGTTTTCTTTCAGACACTGTTGCAAGAAGTTCCATGGATATCTATGCCAATAATTCAGATTGAGATACCTTGTACGTTTAAACTCCTGATCTCTTTCAGAGTTTCCATTTAGTACTTTTTCTTGTCTTAAATAGATTTTTACTCCAAAAATGCATCTCGGTCTTTGGTTATTTAATTAGCAAACTTCTCTCTTGCAAATCTTTATTGGTGTGGTGGTTTTAAAATATATCTACAAATTATTTGATACTCTTTCCTTCAAAAAGAAGAGTCTAATTCCTTGAGTATGGGCTAAACATAATGACTCACTTCTAATAAATATAGAATATGATGGCAGTTGATGGGTGTGACTTCTCAGACTGGGTCATAAAAGGTATTGTGGCTTCCTCTTTGCTCTCTCTCTTGGATTACTCACTCTGGGGAAAGCCAATCACCATATCGTGAGGTCACTCAAGCACCCCTATGGAAAGGTCCATGTGGCAAGGAACTGAAGAAGCTGGCTGATAGCCAGTATGAACTTCCCAAGCTCATGAGTGAGCCATCTTGTGAGCAGTTCCTCCAGCCAGTTAAGCCTTCAGATGACTGCATCCCTAGCTAATATTGTGACTGCAATCTCATGAGAGACCGTGAGCCAGAACCACACCCAGATTCCCACAGAAACTGTGTGAGACACAATAAATGCTTATTGCATTAAGTCAGTAAGTTTTGGGGCAATTTGTTTTGTAGCAATACATAGCTAATACACCTGGCATCATTTCCTGATGATCTGCAATTAGGGAAACAGAAGGATGGAGGGTCCAAGATTATCCCCATTGGTCCCTAAACACTGATTATTTGGGACAAAAATACATTAAGTGGTTGAGTTTACCTTTGCTCTGCCCATTTGTCATTAGTGATAACATTAGTTGTAGAGTGATTAGCACAGCCATCTCCTTCTCTACCCTTATTAGCTTCAAGGACTCAAAGGTAAAAGAATCCTTTCCATGTTGTCAAAGGATGTTTGACAAAGTATGATTTTCCTGGAGTAATGTCTCTGTTAGTAGCTGATGTGTGAATATTTAAAGGAGAGAAATCCTTTAGATGA